CATCAGTTTGTTGAAACATTTCAATTGGAGTCTATCAATTCCTGGAGTCTTGTTTTTGGCTAATACTTTCAGTGCAGCTTGAACGTCTTCCTTCAGAGCCATTGGTCCTGATTCATATACTTCCTCCTGAAATGATGAAGTGTAGACCAGTTCTTGTTTGATACAATGACTTTATGTATTATTTTCATCTTCTTTTGATGCTTCTTGCATCATTCAATATTTTGCCCATAAAATATTTCAACTCAATGTTTGAATTTTTTCTCGAGTTCTTTCAGTTTAAGATATGCTGAACATGTGATTCCTTCTTGATTTTCTATCTGTAGGGCTCTGCACATTTCAATAAAATGTTTTATTTTGCCTTCTCGAGCTTCCCTTTGGAGTTTTCTACTTATTACAAAGAGTTCTACTCTTTGACTTCATCCTTTCTTCCATTTGCTTTACCTTCTTTCTCTATGATTGAGGGCTTGTTTCAGAGTCTCTTCTGACATCTACTTTGAACTTTTCCTTCTTTCCTGTCTTTTTAACGACCTTTTGCTGTCTTCATGAATGATGTCCTTTAGAGTGTTGCAAAGTAAGGATGTTACTTTGAAGACTAAGAAGGGTGTGCCTGACCCCCCAAATTTGATGGAGGTCAGTTCTACTCTGACACATACGGGGTCACCATGTATCAGACTTGATTTGACGGTAACTAGGTTTTGCCTGCCTGTTGGGTGCTGTGGCAAATCCTTGAATAAGGTAGCTTTGATTCCTGTCTTCAGGGAGCCCACAGTCTGGTGAGCCAGACTCAATGAATTCTCAATCTCTCTCAGTGCTAAAGAAGCCCTAGTGTCGTAGTGGGGTATACTTTGAGCTGATAATGGCAAGGTCAGTGTTTCAAACCCACCACCCAATCCCCAGAAGAAAGATGGGGCAGTCGGCTCTTATAAAGATGTTCAGCCCTGGAGACCCTGTGTAATAAGGGTCTGTGAGCCCGAGTTAACTCCGTGGCAGTTAGGGAGAGCGTTTTCTGGGAAGGAACCCTGGGGGCACAGTAGGTTACGGGTCGAGCTGCTCACTGAAAGGTCAGCAGTTGGAACCCACAGTCCCTCCAATCACAGTGATGAGGCTGTCTGGTCACGTAGAAAGTTAAAGTCTCAGAAGCCCTCACGGGTAGTTCTACTCTGTCTTATCAGGTTGCTTTCGGGTCTCTGTGAATCATAGTTGACTTGTTGGCAGTGGGTGGAGTTTGGTTTGATTTCAGGATGGAGACTCTGGGAATTCTGTGACAGTAAGGGTCCGAATGAGAAGTTATAGTGTTTCGTATCCTTTTGAGGACACATGACTGAGAGCTGACAAGGAGACAGACCACCCCATGGCTATATTTGGATTGTCTTTTTGGAGTGTCACAATGTAACTGGGGACATATTTTCCCTCTAAGACTCAGAGGAGTCTGAGAATGTATTTTCCAGGAGTGCATTTCCTATTGGAAAATTCACTCTTATCCACAGCACATTCACGGGCTGGCCTACTAAATTGTATTGCTGATCAGTCGTCCATCACATAGTCCAAGCAGAAGAAAGCAGATTGTATGAAGCGGGTGGCAGGGTTAAATTAATTGCTTCTTATTATCCCTCTCAAATGACTCACTGGACAATGAATGACTGGAGAGAGTTAGAGGGAACAGATACATTTCATATGCTTTTCTGTGTTCTTCCATCAATACTTGCTAGAATAAAAAATGATAGTCATTGTACATCTGTACCAATGTACATTGGTATAGATAGCAACTGGAAACACAGGGAATCC